CTAACGTTTTTGACTCAAAAGCACTGTGTCTCTTAGCCTCCCTCATGACGTAATTGGAGAACCAAATGCATGAATTGCTATCAACAAGCCTAGTAAACTGTAAAGCGCTGTTTGGTTGGCTAAAGACGCGGGTCAAATCTAGGGATGCTGGCATGGTATGCCTTGTGGATGAACACAGCTCCATAGAATCAGGGTTTGAGTCAGCTCCTGCTCAGTATTCACCCCAGTGCTTGGCACGTTAAATGATAAAGAAACGAACAAATTAAACTACGAATCCATGGGGTATGAACTGTCAGGTTCCACTATTTAGCCGAGAAGCCCATTAATGGCTGGTGAGAATAAAAAATACCACCTAAAATGCAGCTTAATGCCTTTCCTGAATTTGCATATGTGAATTGAGCCCCATTTGTGTGAAAACTGAAAAAGCTGATCCAGCCTTGTGATATATATCTGCTCATAAGGAAACAATAATTCCTGACCTAGGGTGAGCTCCTGGAGACTGCACATGGGCAAACCAGTGTTATAATAGTGGGATCCTATTTGCTTGGAGCTTTGCAGTTTACCTACTCTCATTCCGACCTTCAAAATAGACCATAGGTACCACAGGTTAGTTTCATTTTCTAGAGGAAGAACTGGGCTCAGGGAAGTGTGGAAACTTACACCACATCACAAGGCACAGCTGGGATCGGGGTGTGGTTCTCTACCCCATAGCCCTTTCAGCTGGCTAGTACAGTAATGAGGATGTTCCCATTGCTAGGCTGACAGCCTTATAACCATCCAAAGCATAGTGATTGCCTTTGTATTTTTCCAGAAATTCTGTTACCCTGAATCCCTGAAGAATAGAGTAGGGCCTCTCCTGATAAAAGCAGGGCAAATTGGCAAAAATAAAAGTTTAAAAAAAGTTAAAAAAAGAACAAAGAATCTTTTCACTCTAGGCTATAGACCTAGTAATTCAAATGATTTGAAATATTTGACTTCAATAATAATCAATTGCAGACAGGGGAGAGGAGTGGCCAGATCAGTAGACCACTTGTCTAGCATGTGTCAGGCCCTGGGTTCAATTCCCAGCACTGTAAATAACAACAACAATAATAATAATAATAAGTTGCAAAATGTAATGTGACTTTTCTCCCCATCTAGTTAGAAACAATAAAATTAATGTTGATAAGGATATAGTAAAAACCCATGGTTATATTCAACCCTGGTGACCTTACATACTGTGACTAGCTTATGAAAGCTATCCGATCACACACATCAAGAGCAATGAAATTGTTCACACTCTCTGAACCAGTAACCTTACATCTGGGAACCTATCCTAAGGAAATAACATGAAAGAGAGAAAGAAGAAAAAAAAGTACTTTACTGAGTCCTGGCTATAGGATTCTCTCCTGAATTGCAGTGAGATCTCACAGTATATTTTTAATACATTTTCTTTCTGTTTAAGCTAGTTTGAGTTGGTTCCTGTTACCTACCTGGCACCAGATCTGTCATTAGAAAAACCCTCATACATAAAAATAGCTAATAGCAATATTAATATCCTCTCCTTTTTTTTTCCTTTTTTCAAAATTGACTCTAGTTGACCTCTCTTGCCTCACAGCCTGGCAGCCCATCTTTCTGTATGTTTCCTTGCATTGCAACATGCTGGTGAATTCAAATGCCTCTAAGTTCATAGAGGGGCCATGAATGAACATGATCTTGACTTTGGAAAGTGTTAGAATCATCTGGGAAGCTATTGAAAACACTGGCTGCTGGACACACACACACACACACACACACACACACACACACCAGCACAAATGACTCCCAATACCTTTGGTTGAGACGGTCCCTTGTAAGGCCAAGAATGTATACTTTTCATAAGTGCCAGGTCACATTGATGCTGGAGACCACAGCCTGAGAACAACAGGTTTAAGCAACAGTCTGCCTCCTTTGAATTTCTTCTGGCACATTCCCTCTCCATCTTTCTAGCCCCTGAAATCCCAGCCCTACTCTTTAGAGCAAATATCCGGTCACACCAAACTGAACTCATGACTTAGCCCCTGCCTATTTTTCTTTGGGCCAAATACAAGCACCTATGGCCGTGCACTAGAGGATGAGAGTTAGCTGTATCATGGGTTCCAGCTCCTCCTGTCTGGAAAGCTGGCCCAGAGCTTTAGCACCTCTGTGTCTACATAGCTAACACAATGCTTGGCACATAGTAGTCATAGGCAAATGGGAGTCTGAATTATTCCTCACTGCCTCCCTCCATAAAAAAAGTTATGGCTTAACGCTGTTCCCACGGGATCTATTAGCATATTGAACAGCTATTTTTTTAAAAAACCACGATTAGCCATGATAGCAAAAGAAACACGAGCAGAGCTTATTAGTTTGCCAGGCCCGTAAATATCATCTTGCTTTGCTCTCTAAACTCCCTAATGAAGATAGCAGCTCTCAGGCAAATAAATAAAACATTAGGTTGACAACACACGGCACATCACAAGCACAGTCCACTAATTTGCTCATTGCTGAAGGACATTAGCTGCCTTTGGGATAATCTCCATAAGCACACGGCCCAGTCTCCCTTTCTCCTGGATCAATTGCATCAAGCTACAGTTTTAATGTTTTTCAATGTCTTATATGCATTTTATTTCAATAACTTTTAAAATAGCAAGAGATCCATCTTAATCAAATGAAACGCTATTTTTCAGTAATTGTCCTTAAAAAGCCAATTCCTGTTCTGGAAAAAACATCTTTTTGACTCACAAGTGGCTGGGCTAAACAGTGTTCTCAGAATATTAATGTGAGCTTAAGCTATTAAAATGTCATGGTTAACCTTTTTAAAATCTAATTAAATTAAAATAATAATATGTAGAACAGTTTCCCTGAAAGGAAAGGCTCCTTTTCAAAGAACCTGTTCCCAGTCTCTCAGCTAACACCTTAAAGCCATGATGGGAAGGAGGTTTGCATGCAGACAAAGAGAGCCAGGCTGTGCACCTGCTGTGATTAACTTTTAGTTGTTAGTATTAGAGTTAATTATGGTAGCATGCTAGAGGGCAGGGACAATTTACTTGCCTGATAACACCTAATAAGATATATTTGCAGATGCCAGCAACTCCTGGACTTAATCAACAAATTATCAAGACAATCAATGTTGTTGGGCCCCATGTCCTTTTCCCACTACCCATCCCCAACCCCCCCCCCCCAAAAAAGATAAGAGTCCAAGGGCAGAGCACTAAGGATGTAAGCAAGCAGCTCACAGAGAGCTAACATCAGGCTTGACTCTCTCCTGGATGGCCAGAGCCCTTGTTGAGAAAGGCCTAATTCTGTTAAGAACACAGTTCCATCCAGCCCATACCAGATGCAGGGAAATTAATATCTGAGAACTCCATCAGTTCTCAGCTAGCTGAGTTCTGGAAGGCTTCAATTAGAGTCCTATCTATTTTATCTTGTATGGGGAAAAACTTGTAACCCCCAAGGCATAGGACTTACCTCTTGCTATACGGCTGATGAATTCTTGTTTCTTTATTTGATCATCTATGCTTGAATAAAGTTTTGAACAACTGAAACTATGATGTTAAAAAGCTTTCAAATTCTGCAAAAGAGCATGCTCTCCTCTCTAACATCGTTATAAGCCTCAATGCACTTTGAGGAGACAGGACTGAAAACATGCCTGGAAAACAAAACAAGAACGTCGCAACCATGACTACTTAGAGGGGTCAGTACAGAAACAGAGGTTATCACAGTGGCTTTCCTTGGACCACTGAAAGCTGAGCTGTCTCATAATTTTCCAATCTTCAATAATGAAAGATGACCAGCATTCACCATGAATACCTAGATTCCAAGATGCATTCATCTATGCCTCCCATTAAGGCATAAGCATTTATTTCTAGAGCATGACTTGGTGAGAGCCTGTGTTGAACATGTTCCTGATGTCACTAAATGGGAGTTATTTAGGACTAAGTTCTTGGTACTTAACACACTGCCTATCTTATACAAAATGGTTTTATGGCAATGGTAAGTATCTTTATTGATCCTCTGACTTCCAAAAGATACCATAACCACACATGTCTAGACTAATCATACACATAATTTAAGTGGATTTCCCCTTCCACAATGCAGTAACCCAGAGTCAGCCATGATTCCAAAAGATTAAATGGAAAAATTCTAAAAATCAATCATTCAAAAGCTTAAAATGATACATTTTTCTGAATAGCATTGAAAAATATGTTTTAGGGTGAGCAACCCCAGTTCTAGAAGTTCCAATAAAACTAGGCTCACCTACCCTCCCTTACATACCAATTAAAGAGATATGCATTGGTGAACAGCAGAGAGAGGAGTATTAATTAAGTGCAGCTACATCAGGAAGAGAAAGTCCTTCAGTGATCCCAAGATTGACTTAGGGTACTTGTATAAATGTTAAGTTTAAGGAGGGAAAGTCTCTGGGGCAAGTGGGAAAGGTTTGCATAATTAGGTGATTTGGTCAAAGATGTGCTCACAATCCAAACAACATTGATATTCCACCTTACCCCAATTAGAATGGCCGTTATTAAGAAAACTAACAATAACAGACGCTGGCAGGGATATGACCAAAAGGGAAAACTACTACTCTGTTGGTGGGAATGTAAACTTGTTCTGCCACTCTAGAAAACAGTTTCTCAAAAGCAATCCTACTTCTGAGCATCTATCCAGTTGACATAAAGCAGGCTACACTAAAGCCACCAGCACAATCATGTTCATTGCAGTATTGTTTACCATAGCCCAGATATGAAATCAACCCAGATGCACCTGAGTAGACAAATGGATCAAGAAAATGTGGTATAGGAAGCCGCTGCTTAGTTGCTGTCCAGGCGGAGCTCTACTGTCCGTGTGCGGGCTGTCTACCGCCTGGCCCTCTCTCCCTGCCTGCCACTCTCCACCACCCGGCCTCCACGTGTGCTCGCACTGCTGGGTCCTGTAACCTGAGCGCCCTGGACTCGCATCAATGCTCTGTGGATGGTTCAGAGGAGCTTCCATAAAGCCCCACGTCCCGTGCGCAGGCTGCTGAGGCTCAGTCTCCGGATAGGTACCGAGAAATTGATGATGTTACCTTGAATTTTCTCATCAATGTCTCTGATCTTGAATATCTTAAGAGAGATTCTGGCATATTTTGGTGTTCCCATAGACCAGGTTTTACTGACTTGGAAAAATAAAAATAAATATGGATCAGCTCGGAGTATTGTTCGTATTATTGGGAAAATACTTCCTTTAGAACCTTGTCAAAGACCTAATTTTGAGTTGATCCCACACTTGAACTCTGTGGAATCTAATAATTGTGGATCTGTGGTTCCATCTTTTGCTGATATTTTGTGTGTGGCAAATGATGAAGAAGCTGGTCACCTCAGATATTGAAAAAGCACATGGGAAAAGGAAGACAAAGAATTTGAATTTTTTCCTCCTTTGCAACCAGCTCGGTTTCACCTGTCACCTGGGCAGAACATGCGCATGGAAAATGATGTACCTGTAAGCAAAGCTGCGATTGAAAAGCTGACTGCCCTTGAAGATGAGCTAACTTTTCTTCGCTCTCAGATTGCTGCGATTGTGGCGATGAAGCAACTGAGTAGTGGTAGAAATTCTGGTTCCTGTGACTTGAATGAAGACAGTGGCGTAGGAGGGACCCAATCATCAGCTCAACTGAGAGCAGAACCAGATCCAGATCCATTTCCAAAATCAGCGGTTCCTCCTCCTCCACCGCCACTTCCTCCTCACTGTCCTTCTCTCCAGCCTCCATGGAGCCCCCCCATACAATCTGGATCTACCGATGTTGGTGACTCAGATATTCCAGTAACTGAAGTGAAAAGGCAGCACTCAAGTATGAGGAAGAACATTTATAATCATTCCCCAGACCAAAGAAATGCTGATGTTCCAAACATGTTGGATGTTCTAAAGGACATGGATAAGGTGAAGCTTCGTGCTGTTGAACGGTCACCAGGTGGTAGGCCCATTCATAAGAAGCAAAGACGAAGTTCCCAGTGGGATCCAGTATCTCTAATATCACATGCACTGAAGCAGAAGTTTGCATTTCAACAAGATGATTCCTTTGACACAGGAGATAGATCTTGGGAAGCTTCTCCATTTTCTAGTCCAGAAACTTCAAGGTTTGGACAGTGATCTAAGGGAAAAAAAATAGGTATGATTCCTGGGAAGAGAGGTGGAGGAATGTGCCACATGTCCTCCTCTGCCTTTCCAAGACACACATCCTCTGTTGGTGAGGCCTGAGGAAGACTCTGCGAATTATGTGCTTCTGGAGTTCGGAAGGAAGATCCAGAGTTAACTGGCTACTGAAGAGAGTTAGAGCTATGATTTTTTTTTCTGTGTACTAATATTATTGATAGTAGACTATATACCTCAGTATTTTAAACCAACTGTGATTTCCTAATTTAAGTGCCTTTGAATCTTTTAAAAATTGTCAGCAATCTGGTTTACTTGGCTTCCAGTAACCTGGAGATTGTCAAAGAAAATGCAATTGTAATATTTTTCATTAAGATGGCATTCATTTTAATCATATAGATTTGAACTTCTTCCTGACATAATTCTTAGAAGTACATTCTGACCATTAAGTGCTACAAAATGGAAGTAGAATTTTAAGTTTTGCCCATATTTGCTATGTAAATATATATTTCTGACTTTTGTTTCCTGTGATCCTTACTATGTTTATACTCTGTTCCTTTGTAACTAAACTGTACAATAAATGTGTCATTTGAAAAAAAAAAAAAAAGAAAATGTGGTATATATTCACAATGGAATTCTATGATTCCATCAGAAAGAATGACATTGACCTATTCCTAAGGAAATGGAAAGGCTTGAAAAAAATTATACTAAGTGAAGTAAGCCAGATGCAAAGAACTTTAGGCTCCATGATTTCCCTTATTTGTAATAACTAGAATATGACTATACATGTACAAGTAGACCAAATAGATAGTAATAGACAAATAATTACATGTGGACATGATTACTTAAACATTCACACAATGAGAACAAAGGAGGATATTCTTAGGAGGGGATCACAAGTGCTCAATAGCTATGTGCATAAGATCATATAAAATGATGCTTATCAAAATGAACTCCAAGAAACAGAAGTTTTTTACTGCAGTTCTTTTTTTGCTCTTTTTTCTTTCTTTTTTTTCTTTTTAATTCTCTTCTGTTGCTGTTTTTTTATTTCTGTAACCTTTGCCTTTTATATTAAAATAAGGAAGTCAGATCCGTCTGGTGCCATATTGGCCGCATGGAGGATTGTAAGGGCTGGTAACTTGTCTTCATGTGGGGGAAGGACTGCGCCCCCCCCATCACCTGCCTCCCAGGTAATGGGAGTGCCCGGACCCCTGGAGACAGGGGCAGGCACTTGGCTGATAGGTTACTGAAACTGTCAGTCCAGTGCCTGGGACTGGGAATTTCCTGAGGATCTCCCCCTATGCCAACCTATTTACGCCTGGACCAGCCTAGCTGCCAGATACCATGCCACATGTGTCTCTGTGATTGTGTCCTGTGTCCTGTCTCCTGGCTGGTCTCCAGACATTATGGCATCCCAATTCAGCTCACCGTTGGAACTGAATTGGCTTGTTGGTATCGTTTTTGTTATTCCTTTCCTCTTTAGCATATTTCTTAGCTGTGTTGTGTGTATTTGCGTGCTGCAGGCCTTTGTAACAAATGGTGGCCTGCAGCCTGTTAACTGTATAATAAAGACTCCAATAGTCTATATTTTAAAATGTGGCTTCCGGGGTGATTTACCTTATCTGATTTGGAGAGGGGAAGGGGAAGCATGGAAATGCTGGCACAAAAGGTAAACCAATTCAGCAGTGAAATCCTCTAGACACTATATTGAACTGTACAACTTGAAGGGGAGGGAAATCAAGAGGGGAAAAACTGGGAGCAAATGAGGGAGGGGGGTGACACTGTTCAGAAGGAAATGTACTCATTACCTGAATCATGTAACTGTAACCCCTCTGTACATCACCTTTACAATAAAATTTTTTTAAAAAGATGTGCTGACTTAGTTTGTTGTTACTCATGGATGTCCAGGTGGCATCCAATCATGATAAGAAGCAGCCATTGTTTGTCTGAGGGTCAGTTTCCTCCATCCTTCCTTGTAAAGATAGTATCAGTCAATCCTGACTTTCCTGAATTTCAAGGTGATTGCAAAGTGACTGCAGAAAAAACAGCAAAGAGCACAGATCCAAAATGAAGGGATGCTGAGCTTTGCTACTGCTTTTCCTTATCCTCTTACGTGTTCAGTTCAGTGTTCAGTTCAGTGTTTAGCGGGCAGGTCTACTAGTTAAACTGGTGAAACAAAAGACAACACTTATTTGGGCACTCTGGAGCTCACAAAGAAAGCAATTCAAAGAAGTCATTAATATTTGGTTCTTGCCTACTAGCATAACAAGGGACAGAGGTTAGACTCTCCAAAGACAACAAATGGTGGGAAATGGTTGAGGCCATATGTAGAAAACAAATGCAAGGGAGAGAAATGGTGAGCCATTCTCTGCCTGTGGTTTGCTTGCCCTAGACAGGTTTCCAGAGCCTTGGATAATTTGCCCTGATCTTTAGGTAGTGTGTGCAACTCAAGTATGCAAAATTTGAGACCATGTTTAAGCAAAACGAGGAGCGGAAAGCCAAGGTGGAAATGCCAATACACCACGAGAAAGGGTTTTGCTGCACACAGGGCATTTGCCAGCCACCAGATTAATAGTTAAGGATGGGGAAGAGAGATTTTAGGTATTTTACATTCTAATAGAAGAGTCTTTTAGTCACAAATAGGCACTTTACCATGTTTCAGCTATGTTTTAGGAAATTGCTTAGGGATTTAAGGTTGATGTGTAACACATTGTAATTTTTCCCATTTAAAGTAATAGGAAATAAGCTACACTTACCACTTTTGTGCAGCACATCTGATTTTTAGGAGCGGATTGCTGCTGTTAAGTGGGAAGTGCCTTGTATTTTGGATTCTGGACAGGAAAAGATAGACTAGCTCTTTCTTATTCAGCATTCCTTCAACCAGCTACTATAGCATGTCAGGCTCTGTGCTGAGAGTGGACAGCATGGAATAGCCACCGTCCCTATTTGCAAAACCTGTTCCAGAGTTGAAATGGAGAGAGTGAGGGTGGCAGGAGGGGTGAGACACATGGGGTAGATTCCAACCAAACTCTTAAACTGATGACAAGGCAGAGGACAGGGTGAGAGTAAGACAGAACAACATGTAGAAAAACCCAGAAATGAGTGAGCAAGGGAGCTGAACCCAGAGATTTCTCTAAGCCCACAGGGGACAGTACAGGGTTTCCTGCTTGTAACATCCCCAGCAAACCCCATAAAGAAGCAGAAAGTTAATATGTTGGATGGTAGGCAAGTGTATACAAATGTATTAACTATAATGTGGTAGTGTCATGGGGGAACTCAAATAGAAATAGAAACTTCTTAGAAAGGCATAGGCAAAGTTTAGCAAAATAAACACCAAGAAGTAAGTACTGGAAAGGGGTAAGGTGGGGTCAAGAAGAAGAGGGTGGACAAATGAAGAGAAAAGGGAGAAAATGGAGTCAAGAATCCAATGTATATCCTGCAAATTTAAGAAAAGGAAGGGAAGGTATGGAGAGTGGAATAATGGATGAGAATGTTGAAAGAGGTAACTAACAATGATCAAGATATATTGCATTCATAAACTGCTTTGTTAAATGGCAAGTCCTTTGTACAACCAAAATTTCATGTGTGTGTATTTTTTGAATTTTAAAACAGAAAGTTCTGGCTCCCTTCAAAAGACTGTGCACACTCTCCTAACAACTATCTTCATCTTAAGCTACTGCAGGGGTCCTAAGACTTGGTTACCCATCTATCAAATGGGAAAATATAGTTCATCTTATCAAGTTACTGTAAGCATCAGGTGGGTTAATTAATGTAAAGTGCTTTGAGTTTGTGCCTACTCTTTTCATTGTCATATGTTTGCTATTCTTAGCTAGGCCTGTAAATATGTCTCACTGGAGCTATAGAGTCCCTGGGATAAAGGCAGGCTATTAATACTCAAGTTCTTGGGGGACTCTCTCTTTCCATCTCTGTTTCTGCATCAAGTAGATGTGTATTTTGGAAACACCCAGCAAGGCAGTGAAGCTGCCTACCACAGGGATTTCACTTCAGCAAATTGAAGCAAGCCCAGCCAGCCAGAGGAGACTGACAAAGGGATCCTCAAACATGCCAGCCCTCTATAGCTTCAGAGAACAAGTGCCTAAAATGAGCTGCAGAGGATGAGCAGGCTCTCCCTGCCTGCCTCCCCCATCACCAGCCAGGATACCACTCTCCCAGTCTTCCAAGTCTAATTAACTTGAAGCAACTTTGCCAGTGAGTTAAGGGACTCTCGTGTGTGCGTGCGTGCGTGTGTGTGTGTGTGTGTGTGTGTGTGTGTGTGTGTGTGTACTGAACTCAGGACCTGAGCCATGTCCTTCAACTTTCTTGATCAAAGCTGGCAGTCTACCACTTGAGCCACACTTCCACTTCCATCTTTTTGCTGGTTAATTGGACATAAAAGTCTCACAGCTTCCTGCTGGGGCTGGCTTCGCACTGTGCTCCTCAGATCAGCCTTCTGAGCAGTTAAGATTACAGAATGAGCTACAGGCACTGAACTGAGTTTAGGGATTTTTGAATCCTAATTTGACTACATGGAATTTTCACCCTCCCTGCTAACTTTGGCACTTGACCTTAACTAAAAAAACATGTCACCCCAATACTTCTCTCATTTTAGGAATGAGTGAGTAGAATTAGAAATCATGAGAGCTGGACTTTACCTTGAACCACTTAGATCACCCCTAAGCTTAGGCTGAGAGTAGGATCAAAACTACCACAGCTATGTTGGGGGCTGGGCGGGGGCCGGCAGGGAACATAAGAAGGGCTGAGACTTATTGCCTAAGCCATTGAGCCCTAACCCTCTAAATCTCCTCACCCCTCCTCCCCAGCCACAGAAAAAGCTCTTCTTCCTCTCTACAGTAGAGCTAAAAGGAGATCCAATCCTGCAACTTGTCACACGGAAGCAGCAGCAGGGCAGGCACTGAGCTCCAGAGCTTGAAAAATAGATGTTCACAGCTCCTAGCCTACCACCTCTTTCAGCTCAGGAAGGTACATTCACCCTGCTGGGTTTAATTTCGAAATCCAGCACAATCACTGAAGAACGCCAACGATTTGCTCTTTCAGCTATGTACAATTTTCA